AGGACTTAGGACTTAGGGACTTAGGACCATTTGGTTAGGACTTAGGACTATTTGCCACCTTTTCTGGCAGGACTTGTGTAGGGCTTAGGACTATTTTCCACCTCTTCTGGCAGGACTTTTCCACCTTTCTTGATGTTTCTGGCAGGTTTCGCGCCCACCACCTTTGAGAAACGACCGGTGTCCGTGAGCCCCGTCATCATGGAGGGGGACGAGGAGGAGTGAGGGGCGGCGCCTAAAACGGCCTTTCGGCCTTTGGGCCTTTGCACTTAGAGAACCCGCTTGGTGGTGTGAAACGTTCATAAGTGTCAGTCTGAACATGTGTTCAGACATGTTCGGCCTGTGATTTTGCACATTGGCGGGTCCATGTTCGGGATCATCTCTTTATAGCACTCTTCTCTTGACTCTTGGCCTCTTAGGTGACCGGTTTCGCTTCACACCATCGTTATTTCCGGAGTCGGGATCCGAATGCGTCAGCTGAACGGGCTGGGACGCCGGATCTGAAACGCCGAGCGGGACGCCTCTCCCGTGCCCCTGGCGCTGGTGAAATCTGCTGGCGGCTCCCAAAAGGGAGGTGCGGTTGACACCGGTCGGGCCATAAGCAAAATAGGGAGACCTCCCAGGCAACGACCCCTTGGAAGAAGGGAAGTCGACTTTCTACCCATTGGGTTGAGCCCCCTTATGAAAGCACAGACTCCTTTTGCACCTTGCACCTTGGACCTTGTATATACCTTGTCTGGGTCTTCATTTCTCAAATGAACCCCAACAAACCGAAGCACAACAATGATTTTCCGCCAAAGATCGGTGACCGCCGCGGCGGGACGCAGGGAAGCAAGATCTTTGTTTCACGCTTAGGAAAAGACAGACCTGTGCTTCGTCGAGTGATGTGTAGTGGTTGGCTCTAGCAACGATAGCCGCGACGGCGGTCTTTTGGACCACCACAATGACCATTGCATCAAAGGAGTGCCCTCCAATGCTTTTCTTGGAGCACAAGCTCACAACAACTCCATAGACCAAGGGTCGACGTGCGCCGTGCGCGTTCGCCGGTTCGCCGACGCCAGACTGCCACGACGTCAAGATGGGACACGGTCAGCCAGCCACTGTTCGGAGCCCTAGTGGTCCACTGGAAGGGTTGTTTGGGGCTTGTCGTTGTTTGGGAGACCTGCCCAAAAAGAGAAGTGAGATGCTACCGAACGCTTTCGAGATTTATTTACATGTTATTTACGTACTTGTCTTACATATGTTTTTGTTTTTGGGGTGAGAGCTGTCGAGGGATGGTGTGGGCCACCAGTTCTTGGCATTCATTTTGCAGCTGGCCCAGGTTCTTGACCAGAACATAGTTGAAAACGGTCGGCAGAATGGCAACTCTCAACGGCGAATCATGCTAGAAGACCAACAGAGGTTGAAAGACCTTATAGGACCCTGTATAGCGACGGACAACCACTTAGAACTTAGATTTTTTCCAAAATCCAAAACCCTTTACTTAGAACCAAACGGACGTTTTTCACAGGATCCAGGCTTAGAACATTGCCATGTTCTTAGTGATGGAGTTAGAACATGATCAAATCCCCGTGTCTTAGAACATCCACCCTACTTAGAACATCATTGTTAAGCATGCTTAGAACAAACACAATGGTTTTGGATTTTGGAAAAGTATTTTATATAATGGTTGTCCGTCACTATGCAGCATGCCACATTAAAAAGTCTGGCTTTGTGCACATGCGCTCTTTTTCAGGTTCATGAAAGGACACTTATGATGATGTTCCTCAATGTTCTAACTCATTACTTAGAACGTTGCATTGTTGCAATGTTCCTAGCCTTACGCTTAGAACATCCTGCACCAGGGACATTTTTTGGAAATGTTCTAAGTGTCTGTCGGTCACTATAGTGGTACATATGGGATGGGGATAAACGTCGGATCAGCGACTGAGGGTCCGGATCAGCGACCAGGATCAGCGACTGCTGGTTCAGCGACCACTTTTCCCGGATCAGCGACCAATTTTCCCGGATCAGCGACCAATTTTCTCAGATCAGCGACCAACTTTCCCGGATCAGCGACCAACACCCCCCTCCGGATCAGCGACTAGGAACTATAGCATCACTAGTGACCGATCCTGGCGATCGATCCGGGGTGATTGGTTTGGTTTGTTTTCAGAGGAGGAAGAAGAGGAGGGAGAGGAAGAAGAGGAGGGAGAGGAAGAAGAGGAGGGAGAGGAAGAAGAAGAGGGGGAAGAAGAAGAGGGGGAAGAAGAAGAGGAGGAGGGAGAGGAAGAAGAAGAGGGAGAAGAAGGCGAAGAGGAGGAAGAAGAGGCGACCGATTCTGACGACCGATCCTGTGGGGTTGGTTTGGTTTCTTTTCCGTTGCCTTCCCTAGACCTCTCTGGTGACCGACCCTGGCGACCGATTGCCTGAACGACCAGAAAAAATCGCTGTTTTGATAAATAGCTAGTTGTTAGGGCTCTGTTTCCAATGCCTCTCTGTTTTCGGCGCTGTCGTAGCAAAGCGGGATCAAACTTTGCAAACTTGGCATCCACACGATGTCACTGATGTCTGCTTGGATATACACACATATAATGATTCCTCTTAGGAATTGGTTTACCTCAAACAAAAGCTTTCTGCGCAAAGAACACCAATGGCCCCTGGAAATTCAGCTGTAAAGAAGACATTCTGCAGCCTCTTCACATCTTTAAGAGAAGCTCCGATGGCCACACTTACAGGCCAGGCAGGCTTGCAGACCTCTTCACCGAGTCCTTTGACCAAAGGGCCCACAACAATGCCACCGCCAAGTTGGTTGAGGCCCGCAAGAAGAAAGTTTGGCAATTCCACCTGAAGCAAAGGGAGGGCGCCATCAAAGGTGGTCCCGGCCGCGCAGCAGTCTCCAGGCGGACGCTGGCACTGGCTTGCGCAAGCAGGCCGTCCGTGCTGCTAGGGCGGAATACTTTTTCGCTACTTGAGCTACATCACAAGCAAGCGTCCCACCGACAGGGGCTTCCAGGATGGGTCAAGGAGCCGGGAGCATTGATGGGTCCTGGCGCCTGCATGGGCGCCAATTTGCTAGCCGGAGAATGGAAAGGCAGGCATGCTGGCTCACAGGCATGGGTTGATGTTATGTGTAACTATGACCAGTCTCCTCTACACATGAAGCGCTTCAGGCGGCTCATCCAGCAGGAGAGAGTAGCTTTACTCTGAATTAGTTCCAGCTTTGCTTTCTTTGCCTGTCATTTGTTTTTATCCATAAGAACTGACAGCTTGACTGAACATGTTTTGGGGCTGCAAAACGCAATCTTTTCATCTGGCGTTTGCTTAGGACCGGCTTGCAGGCATCCAGCCCACTGTCAAGCAGAATAAGAAGTTGATCGCCGCGCTGATCAAATCGGCTGACGAGATACTCAAGTTCTCGCACTCGCAGTTGGAGTTTTGCTTGTGTGAAGTGAGTAAAATCTTTGATTTCGTACAGCCACATGGGTTGTCCACGGGAGGCACGCGCGTCGTGTTTGATGCATGTGGCTGGTGCCACGGGGCAGTCCAGCAGGCCAGCAGGCGCAATCTTGTTAGATCAATAGCGCAGCCGTCACTGTACCCATCTGCAGCCATACAAAAAGACATTCCCTGAGTCCAGCTTTTTTGTCTAAAATATCTTGAACTCAAGAAATGCATGTTTGATACCCACATAGTTCTTGGTAGGGGAGGAGCAGTCCAAATGTTCTTCTTTGACCGGGAGTGCATGCCCTCGGCAGGACACGTTTGTCAGGGGAATGAACTGGGCAGACCATCGTCCTGGTGCAGGCGCATCAGCCAGCCAAGTACTACTACTACTACTGCTGCTGCTGCTACTACTACTACTACCACTACTACTATTATACGTTTTAAGGGTTAGGTTTTAGGGTTATGGTTACGACTACTACGGCTATTTTTATTTCTATGATTACTAGTATCACTATTATACTTTTACTTCCATTACTATTACTACTACAATACTACCGCTTCTGCTGCTGCTACTACTACTACTACTACTACTACGGCCAGCAGGCGCAATCGTTTTAGATCAATAGCGCAGCCGTCACTGTGCCCATCTGTAGCCATACAAAAAGACATTCCCTGAGTCCAGCTTTTTTGTCTAAAATATCCTGAACTCAAGAAATGCATGTTTGATACCCACATAGTTCTTGGTAGGGGAGTAGCAGTCCAAATGTTCTTCTTTGACTGGGAGTGCATGCCCTCGGCAGGACACGTTTGTCAGGGGAATGAACTGGGCAGGCCATCGTCCTGGTGCAGGCGCATCAGCCAGCCAAGTACTACTACTACTGCTGCTGCTGCTACTACTACTACTACCACTACTACTATTATACGTTTTAAGGGCTAGGTTTTAGGGTTATGGTTACGACTACTACGGCTATTTTTATTTCTATGATTACTAGTATCACTATTATACTTTTACTTCCATTACTATTACTACTACGATACTACCACTGCTGCTGCTACTAGTACTACAACTACTACTAGGTTGTAAGGTTAAGTTTTTTAGGGCTAGGTTTTAGGGTAAGGGTTTTTACGACTACTACGACTACCATTTCTAATATTACTCGTGTCATTGTTATACTGTTACTACTACTAGGCTGTAAGGTTAGATTTTTAGGGTTAGGTTTTAGGGTTGGGGTTTGTGGGATTGCTACAACGACCATTTCAAGAAGTCTAACAGACAACCCTTCATGTCCATGGTGAAGGTGGCTTGGCTTGCACCCCTAAAACGATCCAAATTCGAGGAACTATGTTGAGACAGCCGCCATGTCACCTAGTGTCTCTAAGACAGCTAAGGCATAATGTACCCTGCATAATAGTGTCCCTAAGGGAATGTTCATACCGTGCAGTGAGTGCAGCCTCGACATGTCGACAGGTGGTGACTGCAGACGTGCCAAAGAACATTTGGCAGGCCGTGCGCTACTTGTGAGCGCGGCGCCGCTGGCGCTTCGGGAGCGCGCTGGACGGGCAGGCCTTCAGTGTTGCGTGGAGCATCTCTGAGCGCAGCGGATCTTCTCACCAGTAAAGCTTCACAGCTTCGGCGTTTCAAACGTTTTGCCGCCAAACTTCGGATTTGAGCTGGCCTAAATGGAGAGCCAGCGGCAGGACTTTTCGCTCCGGCAATTTTGGGATTGGTTCAATATTGCGATTCAAGATCGAGAGGTTGAGGGACCAAATGGGGCCCTATAGTGGTACATATGGGATAGGCTGAAGGCTTGCTCTACCTGCCTCATACGCGTGATTCAAGCAAGGCGTTGAAAGGCCTTGGTAAGTGGTTCTGTTCAATGCTTGCGAAACCATGGAAATAAAACACGATTTGTTTAAACAGAGGACCTTTTCTTAATTTCACATGAAGGTAGGTGTGGAATGAAAAGGCGTCCGAGCAGAGCGGTGTTCAACACTAAGGTATACTGTCAAAAACCCAAAGCCGATATTTTACTGCGACGGTATAGGATCCAGTAAGCCTGGTATTTGTTATGCACTCCCACTAAGCAGCAGAAATTGTTTAAGTAGATTTGTGTTTTACACAATACCTCTGTGGTGACCGATCCTGGCGACCGATCCGGTGTGGTTGGTATTTTTTCCTCCGTCTCCCACGATATATAATTCGATGGCGACCGATCCTGGCGACCGATCCGGTGTGGTTGGTATTTTTCCTCGGTCTTGCACGCCAATAACCCGTTTCTTGAGTTTAAGAAATTTGAGGAAAAAAGTCTGGACTCACCGTATGATCCGGCACAGTTGTTTTGTTTCTTTTTCTTTTCCGTAGCTACACCTCTCCTACACCTCTCTGGTGACCGATCCTGGTGACCGATCCGCTGTGTTTGGCTTGGTTTGTTTTCCTTGCCTTCCCTAGACCTATATATCTGGTGACCGATCCTGGTGACCGATCCGCTGTGTTTGGCTTGGTTTGTTTTCCTTGCCTTCCCTAGAGCTATATATCTGGTGACGGATCCTGGCGACCGATCCGGTATGGTTGGTTTGGTTTGTTTTCCTTGACTTGCCTTCCCTAGACCTCTCTGGTCACCGATCCTGGCGACCGATCCGGTGTGGTAGGTTGGTTTGTTTTCCTGACCTTCCCGAGACCTCTCCGGTGACCGATCCTGGCGACCGATCCGGTATGGTCGGCTTTCTTTGTTTCACTTGTTTTCGCTATACCTTCGGTGACCGATCCTGGCGACCGAGTGACCGATCCGTCAGATCCGGTCACCGATCCGTGTTTTGTGGTCACCGATCCGGGGCGACCGATCCGACCACATTGGTCACCGATCCTGGTGACCGATCCGACGCTCACCCTATGGGATGGGCTATAGGGCTGTTCAACCTCTCTTGACACTTGTGGCCTTGTGCAGATCGCTTCACAAACCACACAGAGAAGGGCATGTTGGATGGGGTGTTCTACACAGAGATCTGATATCTATATAAGCCTAAGCGAACTCGGTGGATAACTTGTGTGGCTGACGCCCCCTTGGTCAGCACATCACCGAGGCCGCCAATGGTCAAATCGCCCAAGAAGCAGACGATCAAAGGCGGCGCCATTGGGGCGCATCACGGTGAAACCCACGCCTTGCTCTTTTCTCAACTGCTGGAGTTGTTCAAAGACCACCCAGCCAACGAACCAAGTCCTCGGTCATGTGTTCAGTCCTTCCTCACACCCACCGACCTGGACGAATGCTTGTCCCGTGGCGCCACGAGTCGTGCGATGTCGGTGTTGCCGTGCGCCGGTGAGGTTCCTACGAAAAGAAGGTCTTTGACCTACCAGGACTTTCCAAGTCCGGTGGTTTTTTGGATCTTAACCTCCAAGAGGCTCTTTATAGACGGTGCTGTGTTCGGGTCCTGGTCAGAGTAACAGCTTGGACACGGTGTCTGGGGGGAGCTGCGACGGCGGAACGCTCCACGTGCTTCGGCCTCAGCCTCCCCGCCCGGTCGGAGCGGGGGGCGCCGCCGCAGACTTTCGCAGCTACCTGGAGACCCAGTTCGGTGGGCCTGGAGGCGCTGGCCGCGCCTGGCGAGTGGCCATGGACGTGAAGGCCGGTTCACGGGAGCTCCATGGGCTCACTCAAGAGGTGTTTGGAGCGGCGATCAAGCTACCAATGAGGGACTCATTCACGTTTCAGTCTTCGGGTGATGGGCGTTGAGCTATAGAGGCCCGATGTCATTTAGCGCTGGTGGTTGAGATCCTAGGTGGAGGATGGCGGAGGGCTCATAAATAGCCCAAAGATAGGGAGAGGACGGTGTACGGTGTGTACTCTAGACACTGCATCGGAGGACTTCCATCCGATGAAGACCTGTCCGTGTTCACGATGTTCATGACTTCAACCAGTCATATTCTTTCTCATCGGTCTGTTCATGGCTCATCGTGGCTCATGACCCCACCAGATGTAAGAAACCCTCAAGAACTTCTTGCCTCAAACACCCCCAAACACCCCCACGCTGCGGCAGCTCCGCTGCGGAGACGCTCTTTGAGAGCACGCCAGGGCCGTGGTGCCTTGACCCTGGGAGAGTTCGGCAGTGCCTGCCGTGCCGTGGGCGAGGGGCCCGGCTTCGGTGGCCGGTTGCACGGGTGGGTGAGGGGCCGAAGACCTTCAAAACAGACCCGTTCACTAGTCTGTTCGGATTGTTTTTTGTCGATGATGACCCGTGGATGACCGATATCCGATATAGAAATGATACAATGTTTTTAAGGACTTGAAGCCTCTTTTCTAGGCTTTCCAGAGGTTTCTGCTCAGCAGCATCGGGGTTGGGCTTTCATTGGGCTTTCCCTGATCCAAACCCTGAAGAGGAGGTGGTTGACCACATCCACAACCCTCCCGTTTGGGATTTTTCGTTAGCTTTTGCACGCCCACAAGCCTGCCTCAACATGGTTCACGGATGGCCGATTACCCTTCGGATTGCACATTGGAACGGGTTGAGCCCGAAGAAAGATGTTTGCGGTGCGGAGGCAGCCAGCCACTGCTCCTTCTCAGTCAGGGATTTGGATTGTGCTTAGGGCGTGGCAGACTTGGAGTTGTAGCTTCATGCACGCTTGGTGCGCCATCCATGGGGTGAAACGGTGAGCCCAAAGCAACGAAGTGATCCTTTGAAGGGTCAGTGTTGTTGTTCTTTTTGTGAACTTCCTTCGGGCCCGTGCGCCAGTCACCTCTTCACCCGTTCACGTGTCGCAGCGTCGCATTAGACACAGACAAGACGCCACCCCAGGGAGTCATATGTGGAGTTTGGAGTGTTTCATGGTGTTCCTCATGGTTCTTCTGATCTCAAATCCCGTGAGTGGTCATTTCGCCCGCTAAGGCTGGAAGTCCGACCATGTGGAACTCTTTCGCTTGCTCAAAGCTGCAGGTGCGAAACCTGGACATGTTTTTCAGCTTCCCCTTTTTGGACTGAGTTTGTAGGTTTGTGGCCTTCTTAGGTCATCTCAAGCAGGTTGCCCCCCAAATTACCAGACGCTACCAGATAGGTCAGAGAAGTTATACCACCTGTTTGGAGGACCCCAATTTGGGAGGACCCCAAGGCCGCCGCCTATAGCACCTTCTCCTCTCCAGGCCAGGGCCTGGTTCGCTTCCGCGCCCTAGACCCGGAGACCGCCGAGGCACGGCGGGGTGGTGGTGTTTGGAGTCCTCCAAATGGACAGAACACCCTGACATGAATTGACTGGTCCCGTCGTAGGGTGCTGAATCGGAAGATGGGTGGGACGTTCGATGTCTCTTCTGACAAAAAAGACATGAGGCGGCCAGCGATTCGTGTTTCTTTCTGAACGTTTTCACGCCATGAGCGTTTGTTGTAGTACCGTTTTTTTTTTTTTTTTTTTTTTTTTTTTTTTTTTTTTTTTTCGTTTTTTTTGAGGTTTACCACGGGCGTAGCTCTCTTGGATGAAGTCCCATGTGAAACAGGAGCCCTGCCATGACCCTCGCCCAGCAGGGCTGGTCATCCAATCTGCCTGGTTTCGAAGTAGTCTTCCAGGTCCTGGTCACCGCTGCCGGTGTTGAGTCCCCTTCTCCAGTGGTCCACGCTGAACGCGATCTGGAACGCTCCGTCGCACGGAGCGTTCAGCACATTCTGGAACCCTCTCAATGGACTGTGCCGGGAAGGTGAAGAACCCCCTAACTTCCTACTACAAAGCGAACTTGAACCAACCAAAAGTGGAGACCGGTAGGACCAGGGCCAAGGGCAGGTGCTGAAAAACGAGTGGGAGAAAAAAGAACATGAACATAAACCACCATGAAACATAAACCACCAACATAAAACGTATCACAGTGGTTTTCAGGTTTCCATCTGTATCTCCTTCCGGCGGTTCACCCTCTGACTCGACCGCCCAGCCCTCCGACCGAGGCCCTGGTGAAGTTCAAGGACGAGGCTGAAAGCAAGTGCCTCACCTCAGCGGTTGAGCCCTGGGGAGCTGGGGCGGTGGGTTTGGATGTGAATTGGTATGCGGTTTGGACGTGTCAGGGCTGGGGTGGACGTCAGAAGTGACCAAGACCGGACCTTGCAGGAGCGACATCAAAAGTGCAGAAAAGCTAGCCGCTTTGGAGGGCACTGCGCACCAGCGTCTCAACTGCTTGTTGACATGTTTCGGCCAGTTTCCGTCTTTAGACTTCTTAGAGATCTCTAGATCGATTACATTGAAAAACCCTTGGTTCCCCAAGTCATTTCCATTGGACGCCCTTCCCTTCACGTCCTGCCATGCTGTGCGGACGCCCCGGACGGTCAGCGGAGGTGCCGCGGCCCGGTGCTGGACTTCTGGGCGCAAGTCATGGACCCCGGCGATGCCGGGGCGATGAGCCGAAGCGAGTCGGAGGGACTCAGAGAACGGATGGTAGCAGGCGGAGGAGGGGTGAGAAGGAGGTAGCAGGCGGAGTTCTGATGGTGGGAGACCTGGCGTAGGAGGTGTGACAGTAATCCGTTTCTTTAAACATTTGCTCATTTGTTGGAGATCTTTTTGGAACAGGGAGTTCCACACATGAGGATTCATCAGGTGCAGTTTTTGATTTGCAGTGATTCATTCATTTTGATGTTGAGAAGGTCATCCAACAACCCACCCTCGGTTCTGGTAGGACTGAGTTTATGTGTTTAGAGAAGAGGTCTGACCTTTGCTACCCCACACATACCCGTTCCACCCGTGGGCAAGGGATGTTTGGTTGGGGCGACGTGCCCGCAAGTCCGTGTGTACGTTCCACAAGGGGCGCCGAGTATTTGAGTGGCCGAGGTTTCTGAAGGATTTGCCGAAGGTCTTAGGCAGGGAGCCCCAGGCAGATATTGCAGAGTCCCAAGTTGGAAGACTATTTGGGTCTTGGTGTTTCTCTAAGGACAGATGGCTTGGGACTGGAAAAGCCTCTGGGCCCCCGGCCTCATGTTTGGAGTTGGTTGGAAGACCTTATAGGTGCAGGTGCTGAAAACATGATGACCGCTCTTACGCCCGGTGCGGACCAGGTCGCCGGCTTCGGCCGACGCCGACCTGGTCGGCGCTCTGATGAGAACGATCGGCTCAGACGGAGGAAGTTCCAGATCCAGCCGGAACTCATCAACCCCAATCATCAAGGCATCCACACTTATCTAATAGGGTGTAGCCGGTGTAGCCCAATTAAACCAGTATCCGTCGGCAAAGTAATTTGAGCAAGGCCTTTTAAAACATCATCATCATCCACTGGGCCACTGGCCACCCTACCCAAGTCACATCCTCCAACACTTGTTTTTTCTTCAGCGTCCGCACTTTGCGCCGCCGCCGCCTCCGCCTACCTCCGTACCTACCTCGTACCTCCTCGCTCTACCTCCTTCGAGTCGAGCAGAATCCGAGGCATGGCGCCCGAGACCTTGCTGCGGGTCTTCAACACGTTGGACCCCACGAACACGGGCTGGCTGGCCGCCACAGAGCTGCAGTACCTGGAGGCGGCCCGCGGTGTCACTAGATGTCACTAGAGTTAATGTTAAGATGGTCTTAAGCCCGACCCTCTGAGAAGCAGGAAAACCCGTGACGTCCTCCGACTCCAAGGATTCACCTCAGAAAAATGTCAAGATTTCCCATCGACTGTTTCTCCAGTTTTTGTCGTTTCAGCTTTTCTCATTCTCGGCTTTGCCACTTTCTTCGCAACTTTCTTCACCCCTTGGCCTGGCCTGGCCCAGACCTTTGAGATGGGCCTGGCCGACTTCATGGCTGATCAAGAGCATCAGGCGCGGCCGATGCGTGGCGCATCCACGCATCGCCGGCAATGCGCGGGCGATGCGCGGGCGATGCGGGGCTGGGTGACAGGTGGAACGCGATGTTGGACAAGTTCGATTCGTCCGGTGCTACTGGACGAAGGCAAAAGCTCTAGGACTCTAGGAGGTTGTAAGAAATTCATGCCAGGACCATCCAATGGGTGTCCAATGGTGTCAACAAATGGAGATCCCAAAGCAATGTAGGGTGGTCCATTGAACACCCATTGGATGGTCCTGGTCATGAATTGACATGGATTTCAGATTTGGAGGCTTCAAAGACAAGCCTCCCAGACTCCCGGTCGCACCAAGGCGCCGCTCTTGCTGGCGGGCCCCGCCAGCAACGCGGAGCCAGTACTGCCCACCGGGGCCCGGGGCCCTGGGAACGTGCGCAGACGTGCGCAGAGCCACGAAGGCTTGGACTGTTAGGGCTGTTAGGGCCCATGGCTTACCTTTGACGGTTTAGGATTCCAGGTTCCACACGATTACTCCATTGCAGTGAAGTTGATAGATGTATATAATTATGTTGGTGAACGAAGTGCAGATCCATAGCCTGCTGTTTCGCTTGCAGCCTTGGCGATGTGCATGTTCAATCCACTGTTCCTCACGCATGAGGTGCTCGGAGATTTCAAGGTGCCATGGCAGGTGCGGAGGATTCGGGTCTCCTGAACGGCATGTTGCCTCAGAGATGGCTTGGTGTTGATCCGCCACCTGGACAAAGACCCTTCATGTTGACTGCTGATGAACCAAACCCCCTGGCCGGCCCTGGCCCCTCTCCTTCCCCAGTTCTTAAGATGTTCAAAGCCGATTCATTTACTCCGCCCCGCCGCTCGGTGTCGACCCATTGTCCCAAATGGCTGGAGGGCTGCCCCCGCGCCGACGAGTTCGTTGGCAGGTGACGAATCGGAAGGTCTTGAGCGAAGCGGACCTTTTGGTCTCGCCCCTGGGTCGGCAGGCCTGGCGCTGAAGCCGGATCCAGGTGTATCAACAGCTTTTGGAGAGTTGTTCAACAGTCTGGATGCAGGTGGCCGTGGTCGTCTTGGATAAACACGGTGCGTTGTTGATCTATGAGAGTTGGAGTTTGGAAGGCCTGCAAGAAACATGGAAGTGGACACCCCCGGTTTCCGGAGGAGAATGGTCTTTCCGAGAGGGTCATTGTCCACTTCCTTGTGTTTTCCAAGAGGGTCATGTCTCATTTTGTGACCGTTTTTGCAGTGGATGGTCCTGGGTTTTCAGTGATTTCCACTTGGCCATTGTGCTCCAGTTGTGGGCACCACACCGGAGCAGCAGAAGCTTCCAGTGGCTCGGCGAACGGGAGGAGACAGGCCCAGCGCGCTCGAGCGTCTGCCTGAGGGAGCTACTAGTCTGTGATGGGGAGCTACCTGGCAGGTCAAATGATGGATGAGCGCCCTTACAAATTCTTACAGGCCTTTTGATATTCGAAACCTTTGGTGACGAAAGCCCTACTAAACGGCAAGGACTTGCACGGTGAGGCCGTGAGCTTTTGGGCAGTTTAGGCCACGAAAGGCACGCGGCGCTTTACCCCGTCCCTTCAAAAGGATCAAGAAGGGGTTGTGTAGCGAGTCACATCCATCATCCATCCAACCAGTTTCCTTGGAACATCATCCAGCCCGAACTGGTGGCTCACGTGGAGCCTCACGTGCCGCGAAGCCGTGTGCCTGGGCCTGGGAGCCTGGTGAATCGATCGAAGATCGACGCAAGGGGGTCCCCCAAGGCAACGCGCGCTGGAGAACTCCCACATGCTCAAGCACAGGCGATGGGGGGAGAGGGGGTTGGCACCAGGAGTTGAGTGGAGGGGATGCTTAGTTCATGGAGGTTGGAGGTCCAGAACATCCACATTACTTATGATCCCTTAGGGCCCTAAGAGACTAAGGACCGTTCCCATTTGATCCCTGGACTTTGAGGGCTCCTTTCTATCAGACCACGGTGTCCGTGGAAGGTGTGGCCCACACGTCTTGTTTCGGGGGGGCCTTTGCCAGAAATGACTTCATGTAAAGAAAAGAGGACCTACACTCCCTGGAATCATCATGGGGCCCGTGGATGGCACCACCGGTCTTGGTCCGAACGGAAGACTCATGGTCATGGTGAACGACAGAGGCCATGCCATCCCATCGTTGGCCCATGATCCAGGGAGTGTATCTTCTGGTTTTTCTGGACTTCAGGGATGTATCTCCTGGTTGTCCTTCCGGTAATACGAGTCGAGTTCCCCCTTGTACGGGAAATGTATGGAAATGGCAGTCCTCTAGTCGGCATTGGAGTGGCTGCCTGGCCATCGGCTCAGTTTCGTCTGGGAAAAAGACCCCGTCCGCCTTAAAGGCGGCCGTGAAGAGCCGTGAGCCAGCTTCAACACTGTTCTGCCCCACAGGGCGGGTGGTGACTCCAGATGTTGGCTGAAGATCTGGATCTGCAACACAGGGCATTGGAGCTGACCTCTCACAGGTTTGAACGTTTGAGCAGCACGCCTGACACTTTGCAACCTTGATTCTTTACGTGGTCTTGATGGAAGTGCGAGGCCATGCTGGACAAGAATCCAGCAAAACATAGCATCACCATCCAGACAAGCACCAGCAGAGAGGTAGAGAGGTAGAGCATGATAGAGCTGTAGACCAGCAGTTCCCCCCAACAAAGTGCTTGGAGGGGCTTCGGGGGTGTCCAGAAGATCCCACATCCACTGGGACATGAAGGGACTCCTGTCACCGGTTCTCCTGGTGACTCCTGTCACCGGTGCTCCACCGGTCGCGCACTCCGCCGATGTGTGGTGGTGCCGTGTGGAGTCGGAGTCACCGTGCGCAGGTGGCTCAACGAGACGGTGGAGGATCGGTGCTTGTACAAGAACTTCGAGCCGGCTCGGGGAGCTTAGGGACCGGAGGTGGTCGTTCAACGGTACGGACCGTGGGTACGGGTTTGGTTGGAAGAGGTGAAACAGGTTTAGTCAGAGGATGAGTTTTCCAATTTTTTCCACCAGCTTGCAACAGTTGTTTCTTATCCACTTTCGGTTCCGGGACACAGAACTAGAGACTGCACGAAATCGCCTGCCTCGAGCCGTGAGTGGCTCAAGACAACACTGTTACGTGAGTGGCTCAGCTTGCAAAGTACATGTCTTCCATTCGAGGTGCCTTTTGGATGGGAGGTAGGAGGCACAAGCCTGGCGCTAGACCTGAGTACAAAATGGTAAGGATCTGCTTCCAGAAATGTAAGGATTTGCCAGAATTTGCTTCCCATGATTTTCTTTTTGAAACTGCTCAGACTGGCAGAGCCACCCTGGTCTGGGGGTTTCTGCCACGGTTTGAAGAAGTCAATCACCCTTGGTGGTGTCCACCAGTCCACCCCATGGCAGTGGCCAGGTGCGATCATTGGTGCACTGGGCGCCGTGCCACTGGTTCTGGCGGTGTCGGACCTGCATCTTCACAAGTACCAGGCGCGTCACCTGCGCTAATTCACGTAGACTCTTGATAAAACAATCATTTGAGGCCCCCATTAGAAGAGGTTTTATAATCCGTTCTTTTTTGATGAACCAAGAGTCATTACTTAGGGCCCCTCCCCCTTACAGGACCCTTCGACCTGCCCAAACGAAGCCAAGACGTTTCGACTCGACTCCCTGGGCGACTCGCTTTCGTGGATGCTCCACGATTCGACTTGGGCGGAAATGAATTGATCGAGTCTTCACAATGGTTGGGCGGAGCCTGTAACCAGGCACCCCCCCTGCAACAAACATGGAAGTGGAGAACCCCCTGTTTGAACAAGGAATATGGTGTTTGAGGAGCCTGGGAGGCTGTGAGGTTTGGTATTTTTGGCCACGAGATTGAGTCTTCCTATTCGTGACTCCTGGTGAAAATGCTTCAAGTGATGGACAAATAAGGTGCACCATATCTACAAAACTGATACTATAGTACTGATACTGTCGGCCTTTGCCAATGCTGGTCGCAAAACCCCCCTGCACCCCATGTACACTCGCAGCTTCGACTGGGCAGTTCCACTTCCCAGTGGTTTTTCATCCAGGACCTAGAGCCTAGAAACCACGAAAAGAAGAAGTAGAGGTGCAGCTCTGGCCTTGATTTGGCATCCCCGATCGGTGAGAAGAACTCCCATCTGTCCAGTCGAGTCTACCCTATGAAAATGGGGGCCTCCCTATGAAAATGACACCCACATTGGATGCTTCCGGGGACGGGATAGTGTCACTGATAGTGTCGAACTCCCTTTTTCTCGGCCCCCTCTGACCAGTCTACCCCGAGGCGGCACGACATAGAGGCGAGTGTGGCGCGAGTGGCGAGCAGGGGGAGGGATCAGTGGACCAACTCAGAAGAGAGATGGTCTGATATGAAGATGCAATGGAAAGGCCAAGCAGAATAGCAACTCGGTTCTTTTTTGCAAGAAAGTCCGGGGAGGAGCTGAAGGCTTAAGTCAGTTCCACTGGGCTTAGGCTTGGGGTTCGAATTTCTTCGTAGGAGGCCCAAATTCTTCTGGGAATTTGTAGACACATACTTCAGGATGAACACATCAAAACTCAGGCAACATGTTCCAAACACTCACTACCCAAAGACGCGCCCCCTTTTTCTAGCCCTGGCGGTCGCCGTGGATCGGCCAAGGCCCAGAGGAGGAGCAGGCACTGCGGAACCCAAACGGCCCATGCGGGGTGTGAAGGAACATAGGATGCAACATGGGCGATGCGAAGAAAGGAAGAACTTAGGATGCAACATGGGTGATGCGACATAGGATGCAACATGACCCGGGCAGTTGGATTTTGCTTTTCACTTTTTGTGTTGTGGACCATTCCTGTGGACGCTTTCGTCGGAGCAGCATGCCGGACCCGGCCCAGAGCGGCAAGCCGACCGTGGTGAACGGCGAGCATTTGGATCCCTACGAGGCCGGGCCCTGCATCGGTGGGATCCTGGTGGTGCCTGCCTCGGTGGTGGGTAACTGGATCCATCGGACGTGAGAGTGGGGCCCCAAGAGGCGGAAAACCCGTGGGAAAAAGGGGCCTTTGAGACGATCTCTGAGACTTCTCGGCCGCCGACGCAGACCTGACCAGAAACGCGCCGATGAAGAGCCTGAGCAGAGACCGACCTGGTGCTAGGAGTCTGTTGGGCAAGAGGTCCAGCCCCATTTCATAGTCTGTTTAAGCCTTAAGCCGTACCATGCGCCCCAAAATCATGCATCGCATCCACCGGAAACAGAAGGAACTCGTTCGTCCAAAGCCACCTCTGGATTGCCGACAGTTCCGGCACTAACTCCATTCCCCCCACCAGCCCGTGCCTAGTTCCACGCCTCAAATCAAGGTCCCTGAGGAGCTCATTGGTCTGGTGGGGCTCAATGGTCCCAGAGGTGATCGTGGCCAGAAGGGCCCGGAGGCCCAAGCCCTGCGAGTTGCGGAGGGTGTGGAGCGTGAGCGGCGTGAGCCGTGGATGTGCGGGAGGCAAGGCACGTGGCGCCCGAAGGCGTCGGTGGCAAGGATGGACCATGTCCGGCGCTGCAAGGTTGAATCCAAGAACTCCAGTTGAACCACACTTGAAGAGTTTTGATCATGCTCAAGGATGCTCAAGGATGCTGAAGGACATTCTTCTGGCGGAATCCAATGATGGCAGACGCACACAGCTCGTTGCAGAAAAAGACATCCGCTGGTGATCCTTGGCCTTTGAGCCGATGTCCTTTTTCCTCCTCCTTTTTCGCGTCCGCACCGGCCGACGAGTCCCACGTCGGCCCACCTTTGAGGACATGCGAGGACTAGAGAGAGGAGGTCCGGAGTGAACCGGGAGCCCCTTGTTGGTCTCTTAAAGAGCTGGGAGGTCCGTGTCCCTGTCCCCCCAGGCGTCCGGGTTCGACCCGGTTCGACCCGGTTCATCCACTGAGGTGTGCAGGGTGCAGACGGCGGGGACCGAACCGATTGGGTGGGGTGAAGGGAGTGAGGACAGGACTGGGAAGGTCTATGATAGGTCTATGATACGACTTGGCTACAAGTGGGGGATAGGTAGTAGGGATAGGTCTATTGTTCTTCTTTGTCTTTCTCTTACAAGCCTTACGTGATATAGTAGTTATACAGTCATACACCTCTGCCACTGAAGGGCCGCAGTGGTTGTCGCATCCGCCAGGCCCCATGGGCAAGAACCTCACCGACACGCACGTGCAACAGGCCTTGTGGTCGTGGCTGCTGCAGGTCGTGCTCTCCGTGGCAGGGGTCCGGACCCGGTTCACAAACTCTATGTGTTGGTTCGGGCCCGGATTCGGGTGTATCTCTTTGGGGGGAAGAAGGCGATGTTCATCTCCTTCAGGCGCCCAAATCGAACTGGGGCTGACTGTAGTACTTCTGTTGTTCAGCTGCGAAACAACTTTCTGACCCCAGGAGCCGTTTTTCATGTGAGTCGGTGGGGAGAAGCCTTTGATGGCGAAAGCATTCACCACTCGACAGTGGCTGAGGCACGTCCGGCCCATGTGACGACCGAATCATATCAAATCTACTCACTACCACGGGTCCCGTGTCTGAAAATAGCCCCGGAAAGAGGTTAAGCGGTGTTCATTAATCATACCAACAGAGGTTGAAGAACCCTACAGACTATCCCAACAGGTACCCCAGGTGACGGGTCCTAGTTCAGGTCACTTAACCTCGCATGGCAATTCTTGTGGGCCCGTGGTACATCTTCACATTGCACACATTCGGCCGTGCGACCGTTCCAAACCTTCCAGCTTTCGGCCGGGCGACCTGGTCACCCGCCTCAACGAGCGCCCGAGCGAACAAAGCGCCGAACGAAGCGCCGAACGAAGACAGGAGGGTCCCTTGTTGTCCACCTCGTCCGTGACGCGGGGAATGGTGCTGGATCTGGCGGCGTCCTGAGTGGCGTCCTGCGTGGCGTCCTGCGTGGCGTGTTCCGCGGTCCGTGGGCGTGGTCGGAGCAGACACAATCTCTTCATCAATTGAGGTATGTGTGGGATTGTGTGGGGTACTGAGAGAACCTCTTTCATCCTAATCATTCCCTTTAACTACTGGGGCCCACTCTTCTTTCACCAGGCCAATCGATTTCCTGCTTTTGAAAAAGGAGAGTTCACGAGTCTAGGCGGTATGTCGCCTCAGTTTCCCAGTGGTTTACTCCTGCAACTTGACAGCACCGACACCTGAGCTTCCCGCTTGCCCACCTTCTTTGGCTTTCGCCCTCACCAGTGGCCCAGTTTCTCTTCAACGCCATTTGCTTGGGGATCATGCACTGGCAGCTGAAGAAGAAGATCCAGCACGCAGATGCGCCGGAGGGCGCCAAAGGAGCGGCAGCGGCAGGTGCACAGGCACCTGTTTTTCAATGGGGGGTCCGGAATTGGGAAGGCTGGGGGGCCCAAGACCAAGTCATTCAAGTCTTATCAAATCTCCATCTACGGGTGGAGGTTTCTGGTGGACCATGCTGGGAAGACATGAGGGTCGTTGGAGCATGTGCCGCATGCGCGTCTCCATGCAGAGCTCTACGCAGAAAGGACATGGAAAGGATTGCGGATGTGACAAAAAATTTGGCACACCATTACGGTATGTTCTTCCTTCCTTGCCTTGCACAAGCCTGTAAAGTATATATAAACATCATCCCGTTCAACCTCACTGGTGGGGACGTCCCCTTGACGTGGTGGTGTTTTCACTGCCCTTAGGGTGTTGCGGGGGATGCAGCGTTCCGTTGGGTGCAGCGGGGGGTTTGGCCTGGTGGGAACGTTCAGTGAGGTTTAAGACAAGATGATCATGCCATCGATTGCAACCCTGTCAACATGTTTCAAAGGAAGTGAGGTGCCCGGGATGGGCGCCTGGGAGTGCGCCTTGGTGCCGTGCTTTGTTCGATGCTGTTTGGGGGGTCTTGGGCCATGTGCAGTATGCCTTACAGT